GAGAGAGAGAGAGAGAGAGATTGAGAGAGTTAAGGAGTTGTCCTGCAGCGTTATGACAAGGAAAGAGAAAGGGGATCCAGCCAAGAAAAGTTGACTTTGTCCAATGCTGATTTTTGTTCCCCTTCCGCTGGCCATCCTGCCCTACCAGTCTGGAGAGGCACCAGCCACCACGGCTTTTACTCTTGAGTTTTCAAGCATTTCTGAAGACTTCAGTGCTAAACCAAAATCTGCAAAACATTTCCTTTCCATGAAAGAACAGGCCGTACCTGCTTACCTGCTTGGATCTCTTCTCATCTCTATACCCTTTTCAGGCATCCCCTCCCCCGACATATGAAGAAAAGAGATGGCTTTAAGAAAAGACCTCTGAACTTGATCTCTCTCTCTGTGTGTGTCTCTGTCTCTCTCTCTCCACCAAATAACCAGCTAACTATAATGCCACAAGACGTAGGAGAAAAGATCAACAACAACATAGCATTATTGTGTATATCCAGGTCAGGAAACCTTTGCCAACTCCAAATGTTTTTGACATCAACTGTTGGAACAGCCAGCCCTGTGTGGAGAATGGTAAAGAACGGAGGGGGGGTGTCACAATCTGTAACAGCTGGAGGGCCAATGTTTCTCCCACTCCTGCAAACAAAATCTCATCTGCAGTGAACTGTTGACAGTCTGCTCACAACTGTAAGATCTCTTGAGTTCACAAAGGTGAGGTGCAGGGCCAACTGTCATTATCCTGGCTCCTAAACCATGCATTCCCATTGCACACCCTGATGGGTGAATGTCTGTGCAAAGCAGCTGAAGGGACATATCTGGGTTGATCATCAGCCCAGATTATGTTTCACAACAAACTACAGACAATTCCCTGTGCGTCGTGTGATACCTATATTTGCAGTCATAAGTGTGTCACATTCTCAATTTACATGTGCACCTTAAATATCATACATACATGTACAGTGACAAATGTAGTGTAGGAAGCTGCCTTTATTCCTTCCAATTGAAAGAGGAACTCCCTCCATCATTGGCATTTCAAACACATAAAAATTGTAAATAATGAATTGAATCATACTCTGTAAAGTGTGTAAAACATCTACAGTGTCATTTCCCCATTAGAATCCTTGAGTGTGTGACTTAACAACACTGTACCTCTTGGTAATCTTCCTACCCTATTAGCAGCATTTCGTTTAGAGCAGGAATCTATCTTAGTGACAATGGTGTAACAAAATTGATTACTGTGGAAAGCTACGCTTCATTTCACAAAGACTTGTAGGCACAAAGCAATAATGTAGAACATCACACATTTTAAGAAGGGTGTTTCCTCAAAGTATTAAATAGATTTTGAAACAATTGCATCATTTCAAAATCTATTATGTACTTCGAGGGGCAGGAAGGGGGAGAAACGCCACACACTACCTAATTAGACATGTTGTATTTTTAAAACATCCAGAAATGAGTTATAGTTATATCTTCCTAGTATTAACACACTCTTTTTCTAACGAACATATAACTTCCCATTACCGGAAGAAATTGAAGTGGGCAATATTTTATCCTTACCACCATGCAGATAGATCTGCACACCTAAAGGTCCCATAGGCAACAGAGACATCAGTAATTTCACTGGGAACTGAATTCCCTCTTCAAGAACAGATCAAAGAATTTGAGCGAGAGCTGAGTCTGCCATTCGGCTGATTGCTTCAGGAGGCTGATAATGGGCATTCAGGTGGCATTTCATGTTCCGTCCTAACTTAAGTGGACAGCCCTCAAGGTGGCGTCCCCCACCCCAAAGGGGGTGGGGTTGAGGGATGAGCTACCCCTACCTCCTGCCTCCTTCTGGAGAAAAGGGATTCAGTAGCTCTGGCAGCATCTGTGACCCCTCCCATGTACATGGGTAAAGGAAGAAGCTGAGGAGAAAGGCCCCACACCCTTGTCTTACACCTTGAAAGATGGAGGGATGCAGCGGTGGTAGTTCAAGCCCCCCATACCCTGTCCCTCAGGAAGGAAGCAAAGCAGGGGCACCAACAACCACTGCAGGTTGAGTCTGATAGCAGGGAACCTGTGGCAGGAGTGAGGTGAAGCAGCCAGTGTGGCACACACACCCCCAGGACACCACCCTCTCAGGTGACTACCTCTTTAAGCCCAAAGGCAGAGCCCCTCCTGCCTCTGGCTGACTTCCCCCCTCCCTGCCAGCTAGAGGGCAGAGTAGTATGCTTCAGGAAACCTGTACCACATCCCCTACATGAGTCTGGTACTCTCAGGTGAGATGCAAAATTCAGCCACTCATCTATTTTTCTTCTAGACAGGGAATGTGGAGGAGAGCAGATCAGGCAGCAGAATGTCTTGGACCAGCTGTAATAGGACAGTGGGATGTACCATTATAAAATAAAAATATTTTTTTAAAAACCTTTCACACCTAACCATCTAGTGATCCTTGTATTTAGAATGCATATAATTTCCAGAACTAGCAACAAAATACATATAAAAGTGCTATTAGTTGCTGATTTCCTTTTTGGTTTTTCCATAAGATCAGCCTTTCTTTGCCGCTACACAAGAGGTAATTGGAAATGTACCTCTTTGCTTTTTGGACTCAAATTAAAACTGCAGGAAGAATTCCATGTCACTCAGTTCGTTGAGTGCTTGAAAGCTAAGCCGTAGCAGTACCACAGACATCAACAGCAGGAGCAACAGCAAATGTGCCATTCAGATTTTCACCACTGAGCAAATGTCCACCCCTCCATTCTCTCAACTACTCCAGATTACCTTCAATATGATAGAGAGCAGCATCTGGCGCACCACCGGATTGGTTTGTCATTTTTATGTGAGGAATATGTATTGTTCTGAAGGAACTTTGAGCTTATATCAAAAGATGAAAGTACGTTCAAATAACAGAGCAAGCGTTAAAGAGGGATGTGCAACTTCGGCTACTCTGAGAAACAATTATTTTGTTTCTGGATCCCACTAATGCAGTAGTCCCCAACCCTGGGCCTCCAGATGTTCCTGGACTACAACTCCTAGAAGCCTTCGCCACCACTTCTGCTGGCTAGGATTTCTGGGAGTTGAAGCCCAAGAACATCTGGAGGCCCAAGGTTGGGGACCACTGCACTAATTGATATATCCTTTACTGGCACCACTATGCACTGTCAACATATGACAGTGTCGCAGCAGCTATAAATAGGAAATCCCTACCTCTGGTTTTCTCGAAGTGTGGAATGGGAAGTTGAGCTAGAACAAAGCACTTCATAGACAAACAGCTGTTTCAGAGGAGAATCACGCTCTGGGAAACATGATTCTCCTCTAAAACAAAGTGCAGGCTCCCTGTTTAGCCAAGCCATAAGCTGCTACTGTTTGACAATACTTCAGGCAACTGTGGGCCATATCGATACCCACACTTACTTTTTAAAAAACAAAGTAGTTTTAAAAATTAGAATAGTACTGCTGGATCAGGCCAGAAGCTTATCTAGCTCAGCAAAAAAAAGAAAAAGAAGAAAAAGTCATATGAAAATGTCAGTTTATCCAGTCACTTCAATTACAGCAGGTTTGGTTACAAAGCATGCCTTTTAAAAATAAATTAAATCGAATTAAAAATAAATCCCCTCAACCAAAATGTTTTTTTGCAGATTTTGCTTTTTACATACAACACTAGTAGGGCAGGACAAGAGGAGTAGGTGCATACCCATTTGTGCATGTGTATATGGAGTAAATAACAGTCCTTCTTAAGAAGCAAAGGAGCAGAACTTGTTTTGAAAACCACAGTCGGAAGCCATCTTCTCAGAGACACTGCTACCACCCTTGGCAGCTGTGTGCCTACAGGCCTGTCTAGACCGGGCATTTCTATATTTCAGCTTAACTGGGTTATAAGGGAACAACATCATTCTTGAACACCAAGCACAAGGCCATTGTTTCCAACCTTCTTCTTGTCATCTCGCATTTCGGCTGCCTCTTGCACACAAGGAGAAGATATTACTATCTTTAGAGAAAGAAAGAGTGCAAGCTCCTGTTTTACTTTTCTGCTTACATTCTTGGTGCTACTTTGGCTCCTATGTGAAAGGATCTCTCAGTGTTCAAGGGCTGGTTTTCAGGGGTATAATGACGATGTACTGGGAAAGAAAGATAGAAATCAAGTCAAGGCCCAGGCTATGAAGAAGGGCTGTAGCTTAATGGCTGAGAACATGCTTTGCAACACAGAAAGTTCCAGACTTGATTTCCCATCCCCTCCTGATCCGTTTGGTAAAGGTTGAGATGCTACTACTGGTCTTTTCCAACCTGGTAGAGATTGGAGACTTTATCTCCCACCATTTCTGAATTTTAGCCATACCAATTTGGGTGGATAAGAGCTAAAGCTCAAAACCTTGGGGGGGAGAACCAGATCATGAATTAGTTGTAGACAATGTTGAGCCAGGTTGAGCAATGGTCTTCCTCTGTATAAGGCAGTATGTACCCCTTATTTATTCTGCTGCCTAGGCTTTGTTCAGTACAGCCTCTTTTCTCTTTCTTTTCATAACTAAATAAATGTAAACTGAGTTCCACTTTTACATTTATTTGAAAAGGGACCATGTGGGGGATCATCTCATAAGCAGGAAGGAATGGATAAACCATGTTGATCTGGCAGTGTGGGATTGAGCAGGCATACCATTTTCTAATCTTTTTGCCCAACAAACTCCCACACAGGAGAGTTGTGTAACCAGCTAACAGGAAAACCATGGCATGGATCTAGCCTTCTCAGAACTGAAGGTTCAGAACTGCAATTCAGTGGAGGATTCCACTGATGAAAAGAAAGCATGGCTTTCACTGGTCTCTTTTCCTTGCTGTTCCTTGTGTTTTTAGAGGATTAGTCCCAAAAACTTTGGAGCCATTTTTTTTAAAGCTCAGGGGATCAATAAAGGATGTAAACATTACACTCTGCATTCCATTGATGGAATGCCAGTCAATGTCTATCTTGCCCTGAACTCAGAAGTTCTGGACCGCACGTTCCAGAATCCCTTGTGCATTGTGGTTTTGATTGTTTGGGAATTCTGCGAGATGTGATCCAAAAGAAAACTTTTCTGAGCTCTGATTTTACCATACGTTCATGTACTAAGAAGTCACAGCTCATATATACACTACAAAGTAGACCTATGTATTTGTCGGACCCAACAGTACACATGCTGGGGTCTTATGTGAGAGAAGTGATGCAAATCTGAGAAGCCATCTTCTGTGAAACAACTCATGAGGATGATCAGCTCTGGCTTTCCAGTTTGCTAAATAATTAAAGATCAGAGAAATTCTCCATGTGAATGAACACCACTGTTCTCTTCCACTTGTTCATGATGGCATGAGGAATGGTGATGACTTCCAGTTCTATGCATTTTAGCTCTTATTGTTCCTTGCTCTTTCAGGATAAATAGTTGATTCCTAGCAAAAAGTTGAATTTCACCCTTTAACAGAGTCTTGTTGTCCCACAGGTTTCAGCTGGGCACACGAAGAAGAGTGCTAGAAATGAGTGCTGGAAATCCATGGTCTCTTTCCCTCAGTCTCCATCTCTACATCAATCCTGAGGAAAAAAAGAACAACATTTACTAAAACACTGCGCTTATACTGCCAACAGTGTGAACTTTATGAACCTGGATGATAATGAATATCAGACAAGCATTTTCTTATGGCTCGCTTCTACTGATGATTTAATACAATCCAGTGTGACTAGGGTTTCATCAATATCCAAGACATTTTAGTGCCCGAGGGAAAGACGAAAAGTCAACCTTCTGGCAGATACCCCTTCCAAATAATTCTCTGCTGCCTTCAGGGGAGAGCAGTAGAGCTTGCTGGTATAGAATTCTAAGTCCCACCCCAAACTACAAATCCCAAGATCCCTTAGCATGTCGATGAGGTAGTAAAGTGTTGTCAACCTGCTATAACTCTGTGGCACCAAGCATAATCTCAGAGACAAGGGATACAGATCAGAACCAAACATGATACATGCTCTTTAATGAAAAATTCACCTTTCTAGGTACCATTATAAGTACCTTTTCACTGATTTCTCAGCCATTCTCCAAGGAGTCCAGGGTGCTGTTTTCCTCAGCAGTGACCTGTTGTCTGAGGAGTGGGGGTGGGGGAGATCCCTTATTACCATGAGTCAGGGTGAGGATGCCCAACAAACACAAATGGCAAGTTTCCCATCATTTCTCCTTTGATTTTTGCTTAAGTACACAGAGGGATATTTTTGGAAAGTGATGGTGTAGATCTTAGTCATGGTATGTTTCTTCCCCCCCCACACACACACATTCCTAGTTGCAAAGGGAAACCATTCCCTCACGTAATTGGGTGTCTGCTATTGCATCCCACATCAAGAGTGTGACTTTGAAGACACATCTCCATGGCTTCAACATCAGCCATGCCCCCACCATGTGCTTTGTTTGTTATCTAGCCTAATAAAAGGTGCAGGAGAACTCAAAAACCTGAACACTATGTTGTGACATTGGGATTCGGCCCATAAAGGCGTCACTCTAACATGGACTGTGGAATATTTCAGAAATTCAGAGGTTCCCAAGCTTTTTTGCCCTGTAGACCACTTGCACAATATTTCATCCACACGGTGAAGCAGGTGAGGCAGCAGCATAAAATGAGCCATCCCTCTGATCCTGCCTCCTTCCCTCTGCTCAGGACCCCACGCAATTACACACACCCCACCCAGGAATAAGTAACAGTTTCTTCACTCTTGTTCCACTGAAAAGTAGCGCAGTGCAGCCCTGGCATTTGTAACTGTAGTCCCGCTTGTTACTGTAAAATGGAACCTGTTACAAAAGCAACTTTTTAAGAAACGATGCTGCTTCCATGCTGCCCAGTAGTCACCCATCCCAGGATGGGGGAAGAGTCCTAAGTTCTATTTAGACTTAGAAAGTGTCAGTATCACATACCATTGGACCATACACAGGAACAAAGTAAATAAGCATCTGATCTCTTATCTTAGGAGTTAACCGCCTTAAGGCTACAGTCTTACACACACTTAACTATGGATAAACCCACTTGAACAGCATTATTCCTCAGTAAACATGCACAGGATACTGCTGCAAATTTCTCTGGGTGTACTAGAATTCTTTCTTTGTTAGAACACACCAGATAACTTTGTGCAGGCTGCTAAAATTAACGGTAACACACACTTTTGTTAAAGGTGGTCTTTTAATCCACTTTACAACATTGCCTTCTGAAATACTGTAAAATAAAATTCCCTCCTTTAAAAAAAAAAATTCTCACACCTAAAGGCTTCAATTATAATTCAAAAGCCACCTTCATTAACATCTAAATAGACTTCCAGGGTTACAATGCTCTGTTTTATTCATTCGCACAGTGTTTTACAAGTCATAATAGCATCCCATGAAAAATTGAGATGGGTGTATAAAACATGCATGGCAGAGCTTCTGACCCATTACAAGCTCAAAGGTTTGTGTTTCTTTAAAGCTATTATCTGAGGAAGCCTGTGCGTAGCTGCGCATAAACTGGTTTCTTTTCAGTTTCAAAACCATTACAATAAAATTGGCTGGGCCTCAACCAAGGCAAGGTTACTGTGCCCCAAGCATCAAATCAAGCAAACAATCAATGCCTCCTGGATTTCAGCTACAGAGCTTACATAAACCCACAGCCTACAATAGGATATACATCCTGACCTGGTTTCTTCCAGCATGCTCAACAAGAAAGTAGGATTTCCTCCTCTTTGCTGAAAGACCATGCCATTTTAATTTAACTTTATTTTTGCCAGTCTCTGTGTAAGTTTCCATATTTGAGAGACTCTTGGGGGGAACATTTCTAAAAATAAACCATATATAAACTAAGATAAGTGCTGCCTTGTTGAATGACTGATTGACGTAGGAGCACCGGATAGGTTATTTGCATTCTTTTGAGTGGCTTTGTCGGGAGGTCTGTAGCTTCACGAAGGGGGGAGGGGGGAGTTAGAAACATTTCGTGCAAAACAACTGCTTGCTCTCTTGGGACAAACGACATACTATGGACAACCTATTATCAGGAGAAGGAATTCCTTAACTTCCTTAACAGCAGGGACTCTTCTCACCTTATACAGTTCATAGAATAGCCTGTTTTCCATTGTGATTGGTCTCTAAGGTATAACCACAGTCTTTGTTTGAAAGTTTTGATTGCTCATCTGAGGAACACACACTAACCTGATTTTGGCTCTAATGTTAAGTTCTTTGTATAGTTTGGCCCTTGCTCCGTTGCCTTGTTGTCTTGACCATAAACAGGGTGTTGCTGAAATTTCTTCAGGTCCCTAATTTACAAGCAGCAAGACATCTCTTCGAAAGCTGAAATAAAATTGAGAGATTGTGTCTTGTTCTCCATTTGTCTGCTACCTTTAGCCCTCCAATTTTGTAAGCACATGTTGAACATGTTCATCCACACTCTTGTATTATTCCTCCTGATCACTATGTACAAATGTGAAAGCTGGCCATTAAGAAAAGCTGAAGAGGGGAAGGATTTGTTTGAAAAATGATGCTGGAGGAGAGCTTTGCGGATACTCTGGACTGCCAGAAGGATGAACAAGTGGGTTTGCCTACAGCAAATCAAGCATGAGCTATTGGAGGCAAAATTATGAGACTAAGGCTGTCCTACATTGAGCACATCATGAGAAGATGGGATTCTCTGGAAAAGACAATAATGCTGGAAAAGTGGAAGGCAGAAGGAAAAGAGGGAGACAAAATATGCTTTTACAATTGCTGAGGAGGGCTGTTGAAGACAGGATATTTTGGAGATCACTCATTCATAGGGTTGCCGTAAAGTGGAGGCAACTTGACAGCATTTAACACCTGTCAAGGATCCCAGGGTTCAGAGACACTCAGTATAACTCCTCAGCCATACTACCCTGATTATCCTGGCATGGGTAAAACAAGGAGGACCACATGAGCTGCTGGCTGGGGGAATCTTTCTGCCCAGTGCCCTCCTAGTATCTTAGTTCAACTCGACTTAAGCAGTGCTTTCAAGGAGTTAAAAAAAATCTTCAGGGTTAAGAACTGTGCCGAGTTTGCCAACCCTGTAAGGTAGAACTGCCACCACACCCACAAAACATACAGGCTCCTGGTAGAAGGTCAAGGCAAGGCTTGGTTTTAAGTACCACAAACCTCTTACTCCACAAAGCCAAACAAATGAATGAAGGGGTGGGTTATTTACTTTATTTAATCAAAGATGGTAAAAGAAGTCAAACAGAGCAAATAGTGTCAAAAACAGCCAACAGTTACACCAGAAGTCAAAAAGAGGTTTTGAGCAAGTAATTAAATAAAAGCTTTAGACAGGAGTGATACAGAACAAACACACAAAAATATAAGAAAGCTAGCTAAACTGTTCTAGTACTTACACTCTGACTGAGCTTCAGCATAGCTGATTTAGCTTCAGCATAGCAGCAAATAAGCACAGCATCTCCAGAGAGATAACTAAGCCAACTAAAGCAACTTCTGTCCCCTTTTCATACCTAAAGCTTCATCTTCTGGACTCTTTGAGAGGGTTTTCCAATTGGTTATCAGGTTCCTTTGAACATTCACAAAAATGCTCCCCATCCCCTCACTCAGCTAAATCAATTTCCCCAATTAGTTCAGTATTAAGAAACAAGCCAGCTTGACATTGACCATAGGTCCCACAGTCACAAGTTGCAGGTATTACTCCCTTCCAGTTATTGGTGGGCATTACTGCCCATTTTTCAGAAGAGCACCAGAGACCATGATCCCATAATTCCCAGTCTCTTGATAACAACAGCAAATTTAGCTGTTACTTTTATTTAAAATATTTTTACTCCACCTTTCTCCTAACAAAGCGCCCAAGGCAGCTTATATCACTGGAAAAAAAGATAATATTGAAAGATAAAACCAGTAAGTTATTTGAATATTTGAAAATAAATAAATAAACAGATAAAAATATTAGATACAAATATTATTAAAACAGATTTAAAAGCAACATCCACTGTCATGTTTCAGAACCCCTCTCAGATAGTCAGTCACTAAGAAAAAGCCTGCCTGAAGAAAAGGTCTTTGCTCACTTGCATAAGGATAGCAATGATGGGGCCAGCCTGGCCTCCCATGGCAGAGAGTTCCAGAATCTGGGACCAGTGACAGAGGGAAGTCTGTCTCCCACATCCCCGCCAAATGCACCTGTGAGGGCGGCAGGACCACTTCTGATGATCTTAACACCCAAGCAGGCTCAAAAGGGAAGACACAGTCTTTGAGATGGTTTGGGCCCAAACCATTTAGGGCTTTATATATTAAAACCAGAACTTTGAATTGTGCCCCCAAACAGATCAGCAGCCAGTGGAGGTGCTGTAACAGGGAGGATTATGTGATCACTGTAACCAGCTCCAGTTGATAATCTGGCAGCAATGTTTTGCATCTGCCAAAGTTTCTGAATGCTTTACAAAAGCAGCCCCATGTAGAGCAATCCAATAATCCAGTCAGGATGTAGCTAAATTATGTGACACTGTGCTCTAATCAGACTTCCCCAGGAATGAGCACATCTGGCACAATAGTTTCAAATGGGCAAATGCACTCCTGGCCACTGCCAAAACCT